CAAAGCTACACAGAGAAACCCTGTCTCGAAAAAACCAAAAAAAATAAAAAAAAATAAAATAAAATAAAATAAAATAAAAACTATTACAAGAGCCCGGTGGTAGTGGCGCACACCTTTAATCTCAGCACTCGGGAGGCAGAGCCAGGCGGATCTCTGTGAGTTCAAGGCCAGCCTGGTCAACAGAGGACAGGCACCAAAGCTATACAGAGAAACCCTGTCTCAAAAAAACAAACAAACAAACAAACAAACAAACAAAAAATGTCACAAATAGGCATTTTAAAGTCTTTTTTTTTTTTTTTGAGACCGACTCTCTTTTTCTCTTTGTAGCCCTGGTTGTCTCACAAGTCACCATGTGGACCAGGCTGGCCTTGAATTCTAGAGATCTGCCTGCTTCTGCCTCCCAAGTTTGCTGGCACTAAAGATGTGTACCACTATGCCTGGCTTGCTTTCTTTTGTAAAATTGTTTTCCACAGAGAATTTGTGAAGATTGGAGAATTTAAAGTAGAAAGTGCTGGAACTCTAGAGGATGTTCTAGTTTTTACTCTTCTCTTTACTATTCATGTAGGTATGTGGTATATTTATTTTTTCTAGTGTTAGTGGTTAAGAGCCCAGGCAGAGAATACAGAATAATACAGAACCAGGCTATCTGAGTTTTAGCTACCATTCATTAATTCTGACCTCATCAAATTAATTAATGTACCACTTGGTTTCTACATTGTAAAAATATGAATCAACTTAGTATAACCACAGGATTTTCAGGAGGCCTTAATAAGTTAATTTTTATGCAGTGTTTAGAATTGTGACTGAAACATCATAAGGGCTGTGAATTGTCTGTTTAGATAGAAAGGGATGGAGGAAGGGACATGCCAGCTAGTGTGTTAATCACAGTAGGTTGTGATGAAAGCCTAGAAAGGGAGTGATCTGTCAGGGTGCATGTGTGTTTATCTCTGCTCAGTATGATGGAGGAATTTAGAAGTACTGGTTCCTGCCCCCAGTTACCCTCTGCTGGGAAGACAAGGCAATACCAGTTTCCCAGTTAGTAAGGAACTTGTTCAGAGCTAGCCAAGTAGCAGGGATACAAACCAGTGCAACCTGTCCTCACATCTAAAGGAGAACAGAACAGAGAGAGAGTTGGAGATGTAGTTTACACTAATTGAAGGATCCAAGACCCCCAGCACTGCTCTTGACTCTTACTAACTCCATGTTTCAGAAAGCTCTGGACACAGTGTTGTCATTAGCTTGGTGCTGAAACTCATGTGGTAGCAAAACCTGACCTGAACTAGCTTGAGAGTATTTATAACATTTGTCCTGCTCAGCATGCCTGCCTTCAGTTTGCTTCTAGAATGCTGGGATTAGATTACAGCTTACCTGGCTGTGCTGCTGCTGCTGTTACATAATACATCATAGATGTGCACTGTGTGAAGAGTCTCTGAATTCCAAATACTTGGCTTGGTTTTTGGATAAGAGAGTATTGGTTCTTATTGCACATTCGTCTCACACTGTAGAATACAAATGATCAAAAATGGTAAATTAAAGCCGGGTATAATGGCACATACCTTTAATCCCAGCACTTGGGAGACAGAGGTAGGCAGATCAAGGCCAGCCTGGTCTATAGAGTGAGTTCAAGGACAGCCAGGGCTATACGGAGAAACCCAGTCTTGAAAAAATAAAATAAAATAGAGAAAAAGAAAATAACATTAAATCTTACCTGTGCTGGGCACAGTAGTATATGCCTACAGTCCAAGCACATAGGAAGCTAAAGTAGGATTACTTGGAGTTTAAGACTAGCCTGGGCAGCATAATAATACCCTGTCTTTAAAAAAAGAAAATAAAGCCGGGCGGTAGTGGCGCACACCTTTAATCCCAGCACTTGGGAGTCAGAGGCAGGAGGATCTTTGTGAGTTCGAGGTCAGCAAATCATAATGATATATCACTGTTCACCAAGTAAACAAGCAAAAGTGAGAAAGATTGAGAACACCTACTGTTGGCAAGAGTGTAAAATAATAGAAAAGCATCCCCACAAGGTAAAACCCACTCCACTAACCAGCCACTCTACTCCAAGAGCCTCTCCACTCCAAGATATTCACTCCAAAGAAATGACGGCGCATGTGCATGGAAATTATTGTGCACGAATAAATGTTCGCATCATCCATATTCACAGTAACGTGTCAGCCCACATGTCAGCAGAAGAATGGATGAAAGACCCACAGCATCACCCAACATGGGCCTACACCTTTAATCCCAGGACTCAGGAGGTAGAGGCAGGCCAGTCTCTGAGATGAAGGCTAGCTTGGTCTGCCTAGTGAGTTCTAGGCCAGCCTCGGCCTGTCACATAGCAAGACTCTGTCTGTCTTAGTTACTATTCTACAACAACAACATGGTGAGGAGACACCATTGTGGGGCGTTTACCCACCACCCCCACAGCTTCCCAGAGTTTTCTTGAGTGCGAGCAGCAGGAAATATTAGATAGAAG